GGGGTGAGTTCGTTCATTCCATTGATTCTCTGGTTACCACGTTAATGACCCCTTTTGGGGGCCGGAAGTCTGGTCATCGATGTTAGCGTAGTAGATGATAAGAAAAGGCATGCAGATACACTTCGTAGCTTACCAACAACAGGCTTAACTGGACACAAATCGTCCTCCGAAAAACGACCGTCGATTTGCATCCCGCACCGCTGCACTATCGGTCGAACACATCGTTTGACTCTGGGAGGTGTCGAGAACACAACCTGCCAGGAAATAACTCCCGAACTCGCCGCTACTCCTCAGTGCCGACGACAGGCACTCTCCGTCAAAACACGAGCCGCTACCTCGGCGGCCATCCGACTCGTCGACGATGACTGATGAGGGTAAAAAAGCCGGCCGGAACGGCCAAAATCGATTTCGCAACCGAGACGAACGGTCACCTGACCACTTGAGATCCAGGCCACTTGAACAACTGCTCTTGTTGGATGGATGATGTGGCGCCGTAACAATCGCTCGGTTGGACCCCACCTCTTTCCGAACAAATCGGCGATTCTTCTGCGTTAAACGCCGATGAGTCAACATGCTTTTTTCCTCAGATTTAGTGAGAGAAAAAGCGGAAAATCGCACGTGACTTTAGAAGCGATTTTTAAGACTAACTGTCACGTACAATCAATAAGTTTCACGCAAACCTCCAGATAGACGTGCTGGAGATTCGTTGCACTTTTCACCCGTTAATGAAGTGGTTCGTTTTCAGCACCAACAGAAAAACCAAGAAATTTGCTCTCCCAAACCTAAATTCTTCCCTGTGACAAAAATCATCTGAAACGAGGAACAACCTCAAATATCGGAGAGTCGGCGACGGTTACGATGCTCTCATGCTTTTGACGGATTTGTCCATTACAGAAGAATGACCGTTAGAGTAACAGTTGTTTAGGATCAATGGAGTGGTCATGAAACAAAGTTTACAAACTATCTTCGTAAACTTCGCTTTCCATTCACGCCAGTGAAATTTAATGTATCCACTTTTTGCGTGCAAACTGCCAGTCATCATAACGGATAAATCGCAAGTAACAATGATTGCCACATTCAAAAAGAACTTTCTGTCACGTCTGAAGCCAGCGTCTTTAAAAAAGTATATTGTTTAAAGTTAACAGATAT